CAGCGGCTACGCTGGCTAGGTCATGTTGTCCGGATGGACGAAAACGCTCCAGCTCTGAAAGTATTCGACGCAGTACCCGCCGGGGGAAGCAGAGGAAGGGGAAGACCTCTAATCCGTTGGAAGGACCAAGTGGAGAAGGACCTGGCTTCACTTGGAATATCTCATTGRCAGTATATATGCGTATTGAGCAATGGTAACATTGTGCAAATGAAAACAAACAAAGATGGCTGAAGTCTGCGTTTTTGCCACGTTTTTCACTGGGCACACATTTTGCCGATGAGGAAGGAAAAGGGAGGAAGGCAGTAGCGTTTTTGACTGTTCCTGCTATAAAGATGCAATACAATATCGGATAATATGCAAGATGCCATGGAACTTTGGTGCACTTGACAAGCTCCTTATTTCCCAACACAAATTCTGATGAATCGTCTGATAATTACTTTGCTATATCTAGATCCTTATCTAGGTCACTTCCGCCGCTTCACTAATAGCAGTTGCAAGAGCTGCTCCGGTCTACGTCTTTATTCACATTTATACTCCGATAACATACAAGGTGCCAAAGTAAACAGGACTTTTTGAATCTAGCGCAACCTGGTGGCATGTCGGTGGTGGTATGTCGGTGTTATCTTTAATGTCCGGTGAAAATTTCATGACATTTAATCGATTGGAAGTGAAGCTATTGCGCTTTAAGTGTCAGTATGTTTGTGTTATCGGTGCGAAAATAAACTTCGAACAAAGAGCCAACATTAAATTTTGTTTTAAAAATGGTAACATTTTTACCGAAACGTTTCAATTGATGGTACAAGCAGAGAACGTCTATCATAGAGAAGGTTCAATATATACTTTTGGCTAACTCGGTCGAGATGAGCCAGTTTCACCACTGCCCGCTCGGCAGGAGAAATTTTAACATTTTCGTTTGAACAGAGCTGAGCGTGAAATAAAAGTTATGCTCAAAACTATATATTGCTGCTATGTTCGCTCTTTTGCTTATATTTTTATACGTTTATATGCAAACATGTGTATTCGTATGAATTCCTTTTGTGCATATTAATGAATACATGTGCAATTGAATACATATGAATTATGTATTTAAGAAACTATCATAATATTATTAAAAAAATTAAATATATTACAATAGTGATCATTTTTGATTTTTTTTTTCATTTTTATCAATCAAAACTTATCTATGTATCACATGTTTCATGACRATATGTGTTTATGTTCGCTTTCGCGAATTCAAATCATATTATCACTTATCAATAATAACATGTGCGCGCTGCTCATATATAYAATAAATATGCTCGCATGACATTGGCACACAAATAATGCATACACAATTACATTAGATATGCGTTCATATGTAGATATGTTACCCGCAAAAACTACAAACATTGCTTTACAAAAACAACAATCGTTTGAAATAGCATATTTATATGCGTACACATCGCTCATTTGCTGCAAGACCGGCATAAATCAAAAAACCTGATTTTTGAATTGTTCGTTATATCACACTTCATGTTGAGTGACATAATCATATGAATACCTCTTATATGCTCCGCTTGAGAAGAGAATATGCCGTTATTTCATTATATCTGTTTCAACTTTTTTTTATACGTGAGAGCGACATATCTCAGTGGTGTCACTGCTCCCGTCGTGTTAAGATCATTGTATAACCCTACAAGTAACAAAAGAATCAGCTGTTTTCCAAGAATTTTTCACAGCTGAGATCACCGGATCGAAATCTGCCTTTTTTAGGCACAGAGATGTAATTAAAAGAAATGTAGTAGATTAAATTTTTTGTGAAAAAGTATTTGTTACGGAAAACATTAATAAAAACTTTCAAGAATATTTTTGAAATAAAAGATTATTGGATGTTTATTGCTCTTCCCCACCACCTCTGAGGTTGCAAAGTAGGCGCGCTACCGATCTGTTTGGGTGTTCGGCTAACCAGGAGGCCTATTTTCACTCTTCTTATATATACAGTTTTAAATCAATCTACTTATTATAAAAAATATGACTAGACAAAAATAAATATATAAAGTCAGGTACAATTCATGAATATTAATTACATTAAAAATATAACATTGACAATATACATATGTATGTCAAA